TGACATTGAATTAAAGTAAAGTGCATTGACATATATGTTGAGTGTTGTATGCATTGTGTGAAGCTAAAAAGTGTAACTCCAATTTGATAAAGTGCGTCTGATATGTCAGAAACTGTAACTCCAAACTGATTGTGTATTATGTGTGAAAGTGTAATTGAAACATCAAAAAGTGGTATTGTAATTTGATAAATTGCATAATGGATAAAGAGGATTGAGCATTCTCAAATTTTAGTTGCCATTTATTGAAATGCATAAATTAATTAAAATTTTGCATTAAATTGCAAATTTCAGAAATGGCAGAAACAACAATGCAGGCTGTTACAAAAGGAAAGGGAAAGAGAACAAATGATTCGCCTGCAAATGAATCCAAACGAACTGTTAAGAAGAGAGAGAGGAAACAAGGAGCAGAACATGAAAGTGATGATGACTTTCAGGTTCAGCCCATTCTTGGATGTGTTGAGACTGATTTGATTGAAAATATGGCAAAGAAAAGAAGTATAAAAGAGATCAAATCTGGCTATAGGTCAATACGTACGCGATCGTCACCACATGTGTTAGTTAAAGCTCTGAGTGGGATGACAGACGCTCAGAAAGAAGATATTAAAAAAATAGGATTTGGTGCAGTATTTAATCTAGATATTTCTGAAATTCCTGGAAAGCTAGGTTATTGGGTGGTTGAAAACTTTGATCCCAAAAAATGCTCATTAGTGCTGCCAGATGGGAGTATTGTGCGTATAACAGAAGAGGATGTTGCAAGAGTCTTGGGTTTTCCTTTAGGAGGGAAAAAAATTGTCCAAAAGAAGAAAAATGAAGACTGTGCTCTGCTGCAAGAATGGAGAGCTATATTTGACAAAGAGGACTATAAGATTAGCCCATCAGATGTTAGTGCAGCAATGCTGAGCAAAAGTGAAGGAGGTGACTGGTTCAAAAGGCATTTCGTTGTTCTTGTTGTGTATTTGCTACTAGATAGCACCCAGAATGGGTATGTGACTCCACTGATAATGAATCACTTGGAAGATGTTGAAAAGATAAGTGAACTGAATTGGTGCAACCATGTTATTAATTGTTTAATTGAGAAGAAAGTTTCATGGGAGAAGAAGAAAGAAAAGGCCTTTACCGGTCCATTGCTTTTTTTAATAGTAAGTTAAGCAAATGAAATATGTCTATATGGTTTTTAATTTTATATGTTCATAACTATTACAATATATTAAAAAAACATGTTTTGTGCAGCTGTTCTATGTGGACCGTGTTGTTTTATACACGCGCAAAGTGGATAGGACTTCTCCAGTTCTGAAAGGGTGGAGCGGAAAACAACTGAGAGATAGAGAATTGATGGAAATAGAGTCTGGGGGGTTTGGAATGGGGTACTGTGAAGGTCCTATAGGAATTGAAGAGTTTTCACCAAAGAGGGATTTGAATTCTGAAAAAGAAATGGATGGGAAAAGTGGAAGCGGTCCATTTGTGCACTGTACTGGTACTGGAATTGCTGAGGTATGTATTAGAATCTTAGTGAACTGTTGTGCAATTTGTATATAGTTTTGTGCATGAACTTACTTTAAATATTTATAATATTTACAGGAATTTGTGATAAGATTCGCACAAAAAACGAAGTTGCTGGCAGAAAATGTGGTTGATGTGATAAATATGTGTGAAGAAGCTCCGAGGAGTTTAACTGAATCAGAAAAGTACAAGAAATTGCAAGAAGGTGCACAACAGTTGATTGGGCTAGGAAAGATGAAAAGGCTGGTGGATGATGGAGAAGAAGTTGATATAAGAAGCACTGCAGAGATAGAAGACGCTGCGTTTTGGGCGGAAACAATAAGTGCAGTTGAAAGAGTTGAAAGAGCGAATATGAAGAAGTATTTGTACGCGAAGGAATTGGAAGAGCTGCCGTCCTTTTCAATAGGACTGACACAAGAAAAACAGACACAATGGGGGAGCATAACAGAATTGTGTGAAGAGATTGATAAATAAGTGAATGATGATATGGTTGGTATACATACAAAACCTAACTCATAATCTACTAACTGATCTACAAAAATAAAGTGTTTATTTACCATTTATTTTAGGCTGAAGAAGAGGGTAATCTGAGACGTGAGGCATCAGCGGGAACTGAAGCAGGTGTTGAGGTTAGTCCACTTTTCAAAAATTAAAAGAATGGATTATAATAGAAAAACCTAAACATAAAAACGTGCATTTGGTGATGCTAGACTGTGCATTCAGTATCTTGAAATGAGCATATATAATAACTAAACTTAATTTCAACATTTCAAATATTTTGAAGGTTCATGGAGAAATGATGGTTGAAAGAATGCATGGAAAAGAAGCATTTGTTGAGGTGATTAAATTAAACTTTATAAATAATAAATGAATAATGTGTAATTTTGAGCCCAAGTAGTACAACTGGTGAAGAATTAATTCAAGTTTATTTAAGGTTCAGGTAGACGAAGATATGAGAAGTAAGACACCAAATAGTATGGAACCCGTTTTTGAGGTAAGTATTTCCCAATATGCAGGTTGTTTGTTATTAATGCGCATTATGTCTGTTTTTTTCCTCTAATATAAAACGTAGTGTTCGAAACTAAAAGTAGTATAAGTATTCGAAATTTTTGTAAAGGTTCAATTGGAAGGGGATGGGAGAAGTAAGAAAGGGAAAGGAAAGGAATTTGTTGATGAGGTAAGCCAATTGTGCACTTTATTATGCGTTATTGTGCAGTTAATATGGTATCTTGAAAATATGTTTTTAAATTACATTTCAAATGGAGAGGTGTAGATCGTGTAATATTTATTTAAGCATTTCATATTTCATGTTTGAGTGTTCTTAGTGTAATGTGCATCTACATTATGTGTTAGTATTGCATTATTATTAATATACTAATAATATGATATTATTATTATTACATTATTATTGATGTAATTGGGGAGTGTTCATAGGCAATGTCTCTTGATTTCATAAGCAACAGGTAACAATGAAAGGTGCAAAGAAGGAATTGGCATTAGGAAGAAGTACTTATTTGAGGCCAAGAAGGACAACTAAGGCTTCGGAAGTAATAAAATCGCCATTCATTGCAAGAGTTGTTGACCCAAATGACACAGCAAATGCACAAGAAAAAGGAATATGGAAATGGGTGATGCAAAATGCTACTGATAAGAGGTTAAAAAAGGAAAAAAAATTGTTATACATTCAATTGTTATTAATGGCGTAAATTATAAACGAAACTAACATATTAAACTATATTGTTTATATTTAGGGATGACATACTTGTCAAGTACAGGCAGATTACAATAAACCGAGGTCAGATGCTTACCCTCGGAGAGAAAAAACACATGTGCAGTAACGTCCTAGATGCGTGGACAGTGTGCTTGAATGTTAAGGAAAAAATACGCAGTGCCACGTCACCATGCAGATTGTTTGTAAAATCAATTCCTTGTGTAAGAATCATAAGTAAACAAAAATTGTCCATTTCATTATAATGTGCACTTTTTTGATAGATAAGAGCATATTTGATATTCGGTTGTGCCTTTTTTTGACAGTTGTATACCACGCAGCAAGACACACCTGAAGACCATGCGTATGCATTGTTTAAAGAAGGAATTACGCTGGCTTTGGACACGGTACAACCGGAAATTAAAATGCAAGATGTTGAATTGGTAAATTAAATCCTTATATGTTTGTGTGCGCGTCATACTTAATCTTTTATTAGGTGTGTATACATATTTTTAAACAAACTTTTTTTTGCAGTTTTTTTTTCGGTTGTGCAACAGCAGCATTGCTATGTTGTGTGTTTTGACATGAAAAAACAGCAACTAGAAGTGTTAGACAACACACTTGATAATATGCACTTTGATGAAAAATATGGGGAGATGCCATATACAATGGTGAGTTTTTAAGTTATACGCATGAAAATCATAATACATAATAAATGTTTGACTTTCAAATATTAATTGCTTGACTCGGAAATTTTTAAAACAGCGAGATATGTTTGTTGATTATTTATGCGAAGTGGAGCTTGATAATGACAACAATACATTTTACACGCCAAATTTGAAGAGATTAAAGATGAGTTGGAGAGAAGCTAAAAATGTGCATGACTATGGCGTGTGGAGCATGAGGCATATGGAGACCTACATGGGACAAGGCACCACGGGATGGGAGTGTGGAGTGAAGAAAGGGGAAGCAAAGAAACTGAATGCATTGCGAGTGAAATATTGTGCAGCAATTATTACATCGGAACTTAATGAGATGAAGGAAAAGAACTTGAGCGAAGTCAAGAAATTTGGGAAGGGGAAAAACATTAAGAAGTAGATATGATGTTGGGAGTAAACAATCTTCATGTCAATGCTTGAATTTTTAATTCTTGTGAGACATAGATTTTGGTTTTAAAAGGTGTGACACCTTACGCATTGGTTTTGTTGGTTACGAACACAATTAGGTTTTGATGCTTGAAATTAAAGTTTTTGAATTTAAATGGATTCGTTTTTGGCGTTAATTCAACACTGATTTACAATGTTATTTGGAGTAGTGAATGAGCATATCTACAAGGTGTATGCAAATATGAAAAATATGTGTTCACATATTGCACAATAGACTTAATAAAGTGCATATGGTTACTTATGTGTGTGGTTGGTTTAAATAAAAATGCACTATTTGCTTAAAAAATGAAACATTTGTTTGAAATGATGCATTATTTGATGAATACAAACAAATATAATGTATGTTAATCGTGAACAAATATTTACACACAAAAATCAAAATCAGTAAAACTTCACACACAAATATTTATTAAAAATGCAAAAATTATTTTCAGATTAAGTGGAAGTGCATTGTAATATGCGATGTGAAACAGAATATAGATTGCATGTTTTAAAAAATACAGCAGTGCACGATGGGGTTTTGCAAAATGCACGGTTTTGAAATAACAATGCATTAGAGTGACTTATATTATTCTTTGAGATAAGTTAGATTATCACAACGTAAAAGTACAATTTCTAATAATCAACAATTTTGAAATAACATTGCATGTTGAAGTTATATTATTTGGGACAAGTCAAAATTAAAATCCCTAGTGTATAACAATAAAAAAGACTAATACTAGCTCCAACGTAAAAGTACAATTTCTAATAATGAATAAATAATAATAATCATTCTTCCAAGTTCAGTGGACAATTCCTGCTATCATGATAACCTTTTTGATTACATTTTCTACATAATCGCTTACTCTTCTTACTCACTTCAATTGCCTTCTCCTTGCCACTTTTAATTCTCTTATCGCAACCCTTATTTCGAGCCTGCTGAGGTGGATGCACGCTAATTTGTGTAGGAATAGGTGACCCATAAAAGCCTTTAATAACTTCACTTTTTGAAGATGCTGCTGCACTACTTGGTTGAGAGCTAGACAATAATTCTTTTTGGACCTTAATGACATCAGAAAATTGCTGCAACAAGTGAGGATGATGCTCAATCATTCCAACACAAAAATGGATATCAGACCACAATGTCTTCATAGCTAATGTTTGTTCTTCAGTACCAACACACTGTTTGAAAACACCATCTTCAAATGCATTAAGAGGTTTCAGAATTGAATCTTTGCACCATCGACGTAAGACATATCTATCTGGAATTGCGTTGACCTTCTTATCTTTCAACACGAAAAAAATATGACGACACAATATACCAATCCTCTCAAAATGTTTACAAGAGCAAAGTGTAGTACCGTCACTTGTATTGTGTACAAGTGTGAAATTTAATCCTCGCTCATCTGATATGACATAAGTAAAAACTATTCCCTCGTGTTGGAGACTTTGAACGGCACAAGAATAACAGGCGCAACATATTTCCTTCTGAACGAGATAAAAAATTGAAAGATTATAAACAGAGGAAGCGTATCTTTCAATATGTAGCGGAGTCTTGTACTCGGGAATGGAGGACTCAGAAGCTTTGGTCAATTGTGCACTTTTATGTCTTTGAGAATCCATTGCACTTTCAAACTGCATATAAAACTCAACCAAACTAAAATTAGGATTAGTGAATTCATTGAAAAAATTATTTTCACTCTCTGAACGTGATGTAGTTCTAAGCAAGCCCGCCATGAAAAGATCACCAAAAAAAGCGGGAATCCACATCTTCCTAATCTCAAACATGTGAGAAAACCAATTGTGCTCAAGTAGGTCATATTCTCTCATCAAATTAGTCCATCTCAATTCAAATTCTGATGGCTGCAAGTAATGACTCCACACGACTGAATTCAATTCTTTCATAAAATTTGAGTCTTTACTCAAAACTGGACCAACTTTAGAACTCACCTTGGACATGATATGCCACATACAAAATCTATGACATGTTGTAGTGAAAACATGTGGAATAGCAATTTTCATGGATGGATCTTGATCTGTTATGATGCACCTAGGTTCCCGACCCATTGCATTCAAAAAACAACCAAACAACCAAACATATGATTCAACATCTTCTTTCAACAACAACCCAACACCAAAAGTAATGCACTTCTTATGATTATCAACGCCAGTGAAAGGAGCAAAAACCATGTTATACCTGCATTTAGAAATAAATAAAAAATGCAATCACGAATATAACATTGTGCATTACGAATAACATTAAATGCATATCATATGTAAAGATTCGAAATTATAGCATTCATAAATTTATAAAAACTATGAAGTTAAGAAAACGAATAATTATTTATTTACACAATACCTGTTTGTCTCGTATGTAGCATCAAACGAAACAACATCCCCAAATAATGCATAATTCTTTATGCACACCGGATCCGCCCAAAATATTCGTGTCAACTGGTCACTCTCATCAACATCATAGTCAAATGAAAAGGCGGAAGAAATCTCTTTCTTTCTAAAAAGCTTATCTATCAACATTTGGGCATCCACACCAACTAAATAAGCCTTCAAATCACGTTTAAAATTCTTAAAATCCACGGATGTAGCACCAATATTAGCATAACCCCCGACAGTTTCCTTATACAAACGATAGCATTTCATTGTGCCAATATTTGCTTTGGCACAATTCAAAAAAAAAAAATTGATGTCCAATGTCTAGTTTTCTATTGACTTTTAGAAATGGCTGCGACGAATCAGAAAACATACAATGGTTATGCCTCTCCTCAAAGAATGTAATTACATATCGATTCATGCCTGTAAGCCTAAAAACTGCACGTGCTCTGCAACCACACCTATTAGAAACCCTTCGTCTTTTTTTCTCCTCATCTTTAACACACACACCGGGAGTTGGTAAATATTCAACATCATGCTGCTCATCAGTTTCACATCCATCAGATTCGCTTGAATCATTTTCAATAGTGAAATCTTCATTGTCACTAATCAATTGATTAGCTAAATCGTCATTGATGCATGAATCAGTTTTAGGTGCAACTGTGGTAGATTTAGATACATTTTTGAATCCCTGTCTATTACACACCATATATTTCCAAACAATAATGCCATCACGAGCCTTCTGTTGGCTGCTTTTACGTGATTCGAAACCACAAACCGATGCATATTGATCATAAAAAAGCATACCATCACGTAAGTTATTGAATAACATACCAACACGCGGTTTCAAATCAGGGTCGCAATCAGGTGTCCAGTACATGGTGGATCCGGGAGAAAGTTGCACTGTATTAACATCTAACGGTTCAGAAATCGATGTAGAGGCACTAAAGGGAACGTCACTTGAACCTGATGACAACATACAAACGAATTATTCAAAAAAATGACTTTAGGGCATAGAGTACAGCAAAAGTGCAATATGGAAACCCAAATACGAGCAACATAATACACTTTAAAGTGCACAATCAAGATAATAATAAATTTTAATATCAAAATACAACCAATTTTTTTTATTAATATACAACAGGTAAGTTACAAACGCATTACATAGATATAGAACAGGTAAGTTAAAAACGCATTACATACAACATCTACAAGAAACAAAGAATCATTCGTTTAACTTCTATACATAAAATTAAACTGGTAAACGTGTTGATTGGCATGCACATGAATCAGACGTATTTTGAATTCGTGTTGATTATGAATATACATAAAATAATTAAGGAACGAATGACATGAAGAATTCTATAATGGATCAACACTAACCGAACTCCATGAAGAATTCTAGAATGGAGAATCCAGAAGATGACGAAATAACTCAGTTCGTAGAAGGAAAGCTACGTTCATGAAGCAAGAAGATTGTTCGCAGAGAAGGAGAGAAGCAGGATGCAGGGGAACCGGTTAGGAAATAATTGCGGAGAAGCAGTTAAGGAAAGAATAACGCACGAGATCTTAGGAAACGGTAATTTCGAACTTAACCTTAATACCCTCTGCGGAAATGAATTAATAGATGAAAAAATAAGGTAATCCAAGGGTTGTAATCTATTCTTTTTTCTCTCCTAAGATCTTATTCTCACATGAACCTAAATCTATATATATATATATATATATATATATATATATATATATATATATATATATATATATATATATATATATATATATATATATATATATATATATATATATATAGGATCGGGTTCTAATGAGAAGACATCTTAACGTGAGAAGTGAGAAGTTACACATTTATCTATTTCTGATGCACTTTTTGCGATGACAGAAAAGTTCTGATTAATTACGGAAATGCCACCGCGTCTAGCATCACTTTTTTTAATATCTTTTGCACTTTCTCATGCACTTTTTTGTTAATCTGATGCACAGATCTTAAAATGAACGCACCAATGAGAACGATGTTTAACGTGAGAACGTGAGAACACTCACATTTAATCCAATGTGATACACAATTGAGCCCGTCTGGTGCACATTTTGACTTTGCTCCAAACAAGCCAAGATAAATAATAACGGTGGCATTTTGGTAAATAATCTAAATATTATGGTGAACGTGAAAAAGTGCATTAGGCTAGCCTCATTGTGCATCACATCGGGGTAAAAGTGGTGTTCTCACGTTCTCACGTTAAGCCTTGTTCTCATTTGATAATTTTTTTTTTTTTGCGGAAAGTGAAATTACATTTTAGGATTTTAGGCAGAAAATGCTTAGGCAGAAGAATTTTCTCTCTCCAGTGTAGTGCTTTTAGGTATATGATGATTTTTTTTTTGCGGAAAGTGAAATTACATTTTAGGATTTTAGGCGGAAAATGCTTAGGCGGGAGAATTTTCTCTCTCGAGTGTTGTGCTTTTAGGTATAGGATGAAATTACATTTTAGAATTTTAGGATTATAGGATTATGATTTTTTTTGTGGAAAGTGTAATTACATTTTAGGATTTTAGGCGAAGAATGCTTAGGCGGAAAAATTTTCTCTCTCCAGTGTAGTGCTTTTAGGTATATATATATATATATATATTTAGGAGAGAAATAAGAATGATCTGGAGCCGTTGGATTGCATCATTATTTACATTATTTAATTAATTCATATTAGGGTATATGAGTCATTCACAACTCTTTCCTTCTAAGATAAGATCCTACGTTGTAGCATGTGATAATGTTAGTTCTCTTATTTTCATTATTTCTTTCCATATTCAGTTAATTTCCTTTCTTCTTCTTATCTCATAATCATTGTTTTCCTATCATCATCATCAACCTCCATTCCGACCTTTGCTTCACGGTTCTTTCCCTGTAATCACCGTCAGGCAAGTCCATTTTTCAAATAATATTTGTCTCCATATTGATCACAGTAAGACCTGTTAAGCCATAATTTTATTAATTGTATAACTCTTATCAATTAGCTATTTCGTGTTTTTGCTGCAAAAACTCTCTCCATGTGAATCTAGTGTTTCGTTAATTCATTCTTCCTATGTACGGTTCATTCTTATTCTCTTATGGTTTATTTGCTCTAGCAAATTCGTTACTTGATAATAGTGCACCAACTTTCTTTAAATATTTATGTTAATTTAGTTATGCATTTGACATTTTTTGGATAATTTTAACACAAATTGTTGAATTCGATGCAACTATATACGTTTACTCTTGCACATTTACATATGATTGTTGCATTCTTTTAGATTTTTGAATTTGCACTAAACTAATTTTTAAGTTTCTAGATTTGCATTAAGTGGACCTACATTTTTATGTGATGCATTTTATGTGTTTGGTATTGAAAACTTTCATGATGGCTATTCATTTGATTTTTAGATAATAATACAAATGATTTTCTATTATGTTTTTGATGCACTTACCATGTTTTGGTCATACACTTTCATTAGTTTTTCTTTTTTTCTTTTGTTGCAGATATGATGCAGTACCAATAGAGCAATTGTGATCCATTTGGAAGAAAAAGTGCATTTGATTTTGTAAAAAATGTCTATATAATGTTGTAGAATGTTTGTTATAATAGTGCACTTCTGTATATATTTCAAATGCACGTGATAAAAGTGCATTTTATTTTGTAAGAATGCGTATGTAGAACTCTAGAAAGTGTGATATAAAATGTCGCACTTTTGTATAAATTAATGTGCACTTTTTTATGCATTTAAAGTGCACTCTTAGTTGATACTCTTGTATATCTATTTTCATTTTATTTAAGACCATTTGATCGAGTTTAGAAATGCACGATGTAGGATTATCTTAAACAAAGTGCAAGTTAATAACATAAACGTGCCGTTTACAAAAGTGCAGATTAATATAATAAAAATGTTATTTTTCATTATATTTGTTTCATTGATGAATGGTGTTGCATAAAATTTTAAACAAAAGTGCATTTATTTTATGTTGGAGTGCAAATTTGGATACAGGCTGTTTTGAGTAGAATGCATTATTTAAAATTTTAATCCAAACAATTTGACATACTAGAGATGAACTTTTATGATAAAGTAGTAGTTTGGGGAAAAAAATACGTAAATAGTGCAAAAAAGTAAAAGTATATATTTGATAAATAATTTAAAAACTTCCAACGGAGAGAATGTAATTTAATTGTTTTCCTAATTAAAAGGAAGTACATATTGTAAAACAAATCACGAGAGAATGTAATTTAATTGTTTTCCTAATTATTAGGAAACTTCCAACGAAGAATCACGTATATAAGTGATAGTAGTTACAAAAATTAAATGCTTCAGGATAACAACCCTAACTTTTAGAGAAAGGAGTTTATTGGTTCAAAATAGCAAAACGGTTGAGATTTTTAAGGAAAATATTTACACGCATGATTAGATCATGACACAATTTTACAGCTTTGTCCCTTATATTAATGGCGGCACTTATATCATTAGAATAACCCTTCCTAATCTCGTATATTTACTAGCACTGCCATCAGCATTTTGATCAAATCTTAATCGTCGATTGAGTATATTAGATGGTTGGATTTTAATCTTTTTTACTCTCCTGACAGGGTGTTCTCACAGGAACCAACCCCTATATATATATATATATATATATATGATGAATTGATGATATGTAAGCGTATAGTATTCCAAAATTTAACTTTTCTTTAACTTATGAGTGCTATTTCTCAAAAAAAATCATGTACTATATACGAGTAGTATAATATGCATAAGTTCTATTAATAAGTCATATACGAAGTATATATTAAAACAATTCCTAACCAAAAATGATAATTTAAGGCATTTATTCGATCGAATGAAATACATGGAGCTCTGGAAGGTAAGATCTTCAAGCCTCAAGTAACTTCTAATGGAGAAGAAATGTGCCTTGTGAAAAATAAGTTTCGATGGCTCTAACAGCTAAATACGAGAACGAGAAAGAAAAGGAAAACTACTCCGTATGTTAGAGCTTGTGCTGACATATAATACTTAATTGAAAAATGATGTTTGTACACACTTTTGTACACACTTATGTCTGTGAAAGCTTTTTTTTTTGTCTGTGAACATCGATTCACAGACAATGTTTTGCACAAACAAAATATTGTCTGTGAACCAGATTCACAGACAAAAAAAAAAGCTTCACAAACATGGTGTGTACAAGGGTTTGTACATCAAGAATGGTTGTAATCGATTGAATTATGTATGATGATTCCTAATACATACTCCGTAATTTATTTGTTTGATAGCACATCATACGAAAGTTTCTTACACACGAGACCATTTTTCATCCAAATGTTGCTTATGCACCGGACACATCTACCATAGAACAGAGGATGGTACAAATCTACATTATTACAGTTCTTTACTTCATCATTATTATTACTATCAACTTGATCTGAATTAGTATATGTTCATCCAGTATTACAGGAATATACACGTACGTAATCTAACATTTTAACTTATACGGAGTACAAAAACATTGGTAAAGTCAAATACTATTAAAAATGCAGTATATTTACCTTTTATTGCTTAATGGGATTCTTCATTAATTTTTCGGCTAATGTATAAATGTCTGATACAAAGAACAAGTTCATCAATAAAGTATCACAAGGATCATGCTCTACAAGTTACAAATGCATACAAAAAATTTAACTTTTCAGAAATTGCAAACGAGTTAAGAGCTTTGCTACTTTGTCAATCCAAATTACAAAATACGATCTTTCTACAGAAAAATATTCCGAAGATTGGAGTTGCCATAGCCTGGAATTGGACACATAATCAATGTAATGTCTAAAATTTGCCACAAACACTAGTGCAAGAATCCCAGATCTTAAACATGGAAAAGATGCAACACCTAGTTATGGCAACAAAATCCTACTAACTTGAAGGATTGAATATCGTAATATCTGGCGTTGCAAAACAGATCTTTCAGAATTTGAGATTCCATAACTAACAGGTTTGCATTCCAGCCTAGAATCAATATGCAAATATATGCAGAAGGTAAGATCTTTTTAGGCCAACTAAATCGAAAAGGTAAGTTGATTTGATTCACAAGCGCAAAAGCATTACACTGATTTGGGCTCCAACGAAAACGAGCTAAATTGAAACAACTTTTCTTCTAAACCAAACCCTAGGAAGCAAAGGCTATCGGAAACATATATTATACTTGAAACATTCTTAAGAACTAGTGAATTTGGTGACTGCCTTGGTGCCTTCAGAGACGGCGTGCTTGGCCAATTCTCCGGGAAGGACCAACCGCACGGCGGTCTGAATCTCCCTGGAAGTAATGGTCGGCTTCTTATTGTACCGAGCCAATCGGGATGCCTCCTGAGCCATCTTCTCAAAGATGTCGTTGATGAAACTGTTCATTATTCCCATGGCCTTGCTGGAGATTCCGATGTCGGGATGGACCTGCTTCAGAACCTTGAAGATGTAGATCTTGTACGTCTCAATTGACTTCTTCGTCCTCTTCTTCTTCTTGTCTCCGACCGCCGCAGCTCCGGCATCCTTCGGGAGCTTCTTTCCGGCCTTTGGCTTTTTCTCCGCCTCTGGTTTCTCGGTTGCAGGGGTCTTCTCCGCCGCCGCCGGCTTCTTCTCGGCCTGTTTCTTCTCTGTCTTTGGCGCCATGGAATCTAGCGGAAGGATCGAATTTTCTACGGAGCTATTAAACTTTAAGAGGCGAGGCGTATGAAATTATGAATGGAGCTTGGGAATTGAAGAAACAGGTCGTTTGTTTATATATTAACAAGGAGTCGTCGCCCATTGGTTAGTTTAGTTTGACGCGGATCCGTGTTTTAAGTCGTTGATCATTTGATTTGTGAACGGGTGAGATTAATGGGAATCGGAATGGCGTTTGATGGGCCGTACTTTTTAAAATTTTAAAAAATGGTTTTCCCCTCTCAATTCTTTTACACTTCACTCTTGGCGGTAAATGAAAATTTGAAAAGTTTCGCTACTTTCAATTGGCGGTAAATGAAATTACTATTAGATGTAAAATTAACAAAGCCCAATCGCTACTTTCAATTGTAGAACGGGTTTACTACTTTACTAGCGGGATGGACCTGTATGTTTGAGATCTAAGGCGAAAAATTAAAATGGATCTAATTTCAAAAAAAAACTAAAATCTTTTGTTGTCTAAACTTAAATGCACAATACTAATAATATGTCAAGACATATATAAAAAATTGTAAAACCCTCTCCTGTCTAAATCAATAATGCTCTCTTCGTTCCGAAAAGGTTTGTCAAATTGACTTTTCTTGGTCAATGTCAATCAACTTTGACCAGTGATATATTTTAATACGAAATTATTTGGAATATGAAAATTATATCAAAATATTCCTTATTGAAAATATTTTCATAAAAGTAAAAAAATTATAAATTAGATACAAATATAATAACTAAAATCATTGCTCAAAGTTTGACATCATTGACTAAGAAAAGTCAATTTGGCAAACCTTTTCGGGACGGGGGTAGTATTAGAGTATTAGTGATCCTTATTTAAGAAGAAATGAACTCAGTAATGATCTTATTTGTTAACTTTACCAATGTTTTAGTCTTATTTAAGAAATGAACTCAATTGTTACCAATGTGATGGTTCTGAATCGTTTCATTTTCGTTTGCTAATTCATTTCTATTCTTTGAGTTCTCATCGTGAGGACATTTATAATTTGACTTCTTTTACACGAAGAAACTTTTCCATTGAACTTTTTTTATTTAGCGTTGTTTTCTTTATTTTTCTCCTCTCTTTTATTTATTTTATCCAGATTCAATCATTTTGATTACACCTTGAAAAATAATTATAAATTTATACTCCGTAATTAATTGAAAATAAAATCTAACAAAATCAACAAATTATAACACCAACACTCAATAGATAACATAATATACACTTATATGCTTTCAAGTGTAGATTATGTCCAAAATATGCATAAAAAACACAAGACTTTTCAATAATTTATTTAATCGACTTCTGGATTAAATTTTAAACTGTTTTTTTTTAAGTAACCTACAATTCATAGAGAACATGCTCATAAATATTTATCAATCAAATATACTCAGAAGCGCCTAAAATATTATTAGTTTAGGGCTGAATATCACTTCACTCACACATAATATACAACAACAACAACAACATTCAAGTTTTAGTCCCAAAAGATATTGGGGTCGGCTAACATGAATCGATACATGATATCACCACCAAAAGAAAAAGAAAGAAAACAAAGATAAAAAAAAAGATAAAATATTATAAAAAGATAATATAAAAAAGATTAATATACATAAAAATGATAAAGTAAGAAGGGTACAAATAATTTCTATAATTTTAGGCCTAATCTTTTTTGGGCCTAGGGCTCCCCGCCGAACCTCACCTCCCCCCCCCCCCCCCCCCCAGGGCCGCCCCTGAGTTACTAGAGTAGAATATAGACAAAGGTTGTATTGAATTGACAGATTACATTTGTGTAATGTTAGAGCATCTTCAATGCAAAAACGTGAACAGTGCATATGTGCCATCAGAGCTAACCAATAAAAAACAATAAATACAATATCTCTCTTTGTATTTGAATGAACTTATATGTTTTTGGTAAATTTTTATTCACAATGTCAAGCACATTGTGTACTTGTGTAGATGTAGACATTGTAGTTGACATTTTTGAGAAAAACTTACGAAAAAACACATAAAATTGTGGACACGAAGAGAGAGAAATATTATAAATTCAATCTTTTTGTGTCTATCTCTCTCATACCACATGTGCACCGTGCACATTGTAGTATTGGAGATGCACCGTGCAATAGGCGGATTTGACTTGCATATTCTAACAACACGCTGGTATTTGGTAATTTGGGAATTGAGAATAACTAACATATTAGTAATCTTTTTAGATGAAATGTGCAAATACATCTCTGAAGTATATGTGAAGGTACACATATACGCCGAAGCGTTTAAAAGGTACACATATATGTGGAGGTACACATATACCCTGAAGCGTTTAAAAGGTACACATTCACCCCACCCGCGTCATCCCCCGTCCCATTCTGTCGCGACCCGCTAGGCTTAGGGTTCTCAAACAACCCTTCTAACATGATGGAGAGAGGTAGGGGCATGAATAGAAGAAATTGAGATTTTCAAGATAGTGTCTCAATGAGCAAAACTTATTATTGGAATTGCTTAATTTAAGCATATTAGTTCATTAGTATTAGATTTTTATTTATCTATTTTTTCAAATATATATCATGTTTCAACTACACAACAAGTTCGCAATAATAGTTCATTGAGGCATACTCACAGACACTGTGTGCTTTATTCATTGTTCCCTTAATGACAAACAACAAAAAACATATTGTAATAAGACAACACTCTTCCAATTTAACGTAACTCATTTAAAAGGGAAGCTGATGATAACAGTACAAATAAATTTACTCTAGTATATTGAATTCATATATCGTCAGAAAAAATATCAAAATCATATATACTCTAGTATAATGAATTGAATACATACTAATTAAGATTCCAGGAAATTTAAAATGCATTGTTTGATGTTTTTCATGACCAAAGTGAATTAGTCGAAGGTAACACATACTTTTCCAAAATCCCTAATATACTAATCAAGTTTCACCTTCTTCCTTTAGAGACTTAACACATGCTTGTTCGAAAAGAGATGAGTTGAGCTAGAGGCATCTACTGTTGTAGTATACGACTATACGCAATCCTTTTTATTAGGCTGTCAAGCGGTACATGAGAACACAAAGATGTTTCCTTCCTTGCATTGCTTTGTTTAGTACATGCATTTCCCTTTATCTGAAAATGATTATGTTAGGATTTCAAGTTTAACTAGCCTGTAACTTGTGCGATCCACGGAGGGAAAAAAGCCTCATGACTCATGTGATTAATGAATGAAAGTGTTAATGATTAATAGATAAGCGTAAAAGAAAATTGCATCACATGTATGGCATTTCAAAAAACAACATTTATATCTGATATTGTAAATGTAAATGTAAAATAAAAGTATCATGTTGAAGTATTTGTCTCATACTAGGTTGATATATAGAAATCAAACACTATATAAGATATGAAGCTACTCCTTCTATCACATTGACCTTTTACGATGAAACTAAAACTCTTAACATAGTATCAGAGCTAGGTTCGATTGTAGTTTGATTATTATTTAATTAGCACTCACAATTCATGATAGTTGGTTAAGGTTTGGGGCCATTTATAACCTCAGTGTTGTACAATCTAATTTGGGTTGAGGGACACGTTGAAGTAGTTTCCCCATAAGATTGATATAAAGAAATCAAGCACTATATAAAATTATCACCTACTCCTACTGTCACACCCCAGACCGCATCTAAGCGCGTGTACAACTGCCGTGTGATTAAGTGACGTCACTCGCAAGTCAACCTCACATAATCATACAAGGCGTTCATGAACATCGTTCACACCATACTCAGTAGTAAACATACATAACAACATCACATCATTGATTGAATGAATAGCGGAAAATATTCAACGGTCAATCATAAGTCACATATGGCAAAACGAAGGCTCGCAGGCCAAAACAATGTAATATTACAAAAGTATCCATTAGCATAGTTTATGATTTAAAATAATAAAGGAAGCACGAACCACGTCTTCCTCCGGATTCTTTCCACCCGTGCAAAGGTGTAGACAACAGGCTCCAGCTTTAACCTGAAATGGTGGGGGGCCCTGAAGGGGTCAGTACAAGTACCGAGCGAGTAGCAAGCTAAATGTAGAGTAACTAACGTTTCACGTATAAGACCCGAACATAGGGTGATACATATACTTATACTTCCTTACCCCAAGTTACAAAATACATATCACTACTTATATACACTTGGAAATACCCGACCCGTAGGTCATTGTTTAATTGGGCAAAAATAATAGTAGTTAATGTCCTTGACTTAAAACCCCAACCCACCCATAGACCTATGAGTGTATAGGACTCCTCCTGTCCGAATCAAATAATCATAAGGACATCGCCCGGTCCTGAATTACTAAACAGTAATCTATGAGTTTTGAGGATACACGTCTGATCCTTGGGTACTCCACCCTATATAACCGAGTTTTGAGGATACCACCTGATCCTTGGGTACTCCACCCTATATAACCGAGTTTTGAGGATACCGCCCGATCCTTGGGTACTCTACCCTATATAACCGAGTTTTGAGGATACCGCCCAATCCTTGGGTACTCCACCATAAACCGAGTTTTGAGGATACCGCCTGATCCTTGGGTACTCCATCCGACCTATGATCTACCACATATCATACTAGATAGGGTCTATATCATAATCAATAAACAAGACTAGACCAAGTCTTAAGGCCTAAACAAAATCATCCATGCAACTCATGCTTTACAATTAGCATATAGGTAAAGTAAGGCCAAACCGGCGCCGGTCAACTCTCGGTTGACCCGCCATTCCAAATCCAATGTGTGTCAAACTTAGTCACAATATGTACTAAGTTATAAATAACTATTTTATGCACATTTCATCTCTAAACATATCACATATGTTTTTATGAGCATTTTCACTTCACAAATCATGCATATTTCAATAGTTCATTTCATACAAGCCTAATCACTTTAATCGGCTAATCACATGTTTAATTCATTTAAACATTATTATGAACACGCATAACATATACTTAGGTAATCTCATGCTTAACCCAAAAGTTACAAGACATTAAGCCATCCACTCACCTTAAATGCGTTATAGCGTGTTCTACGCTCTTCGGTTGAACTCCGGCAGAACTCCGGTGAAACTCCGGCGAACT